TCTAATTTGTTACCATCATCTATTTGTGTGGTTAGTTGGGTTTTCTCTAGTTTTTCCACTTCTGTGCCACTAATTTGAAGATTTCTCTCCTCTGAGGACATTATATGTAACCTTTTGTCCATATTCTGATATTTGAAACCTCTCAAAGGTTTAGACTTTTTAGAAATAGGCATGACTGGAGGTACATCCATTACAAGGTCATCTTCATCAGATTCTTGAAGATTTATCGTAATTCTTATTAGTGAAACATAAGGTCTTTGGCTCTCCTGGGACTTGTGGCAATTTTCCCCCACAGATTTTTTCAAGTGGCAGAGGTGCTGTCTATCATTCTCATCCTGCCTGGCTTTCGATGTGCCAAGCAGCCCTGCAGAATAATTGAGCAAGGGATCATATTCAAGATCTGTTGCTGGACATTTGTGGTCCAGCACATACTTTCTAGGCTGACTCTCTTTGTTCTTTGATGGTTCATTCCACTTTTCCTTTGGAAGAAGGCTATTATATTCAAGAAAATCTTGCCTCAAATTTGTGTCACTCGAGGCAATGTGGCTTCGCGGTAGTTCTTCAAGCGTTAAAGTAAACTTGGAGAGCCTCTTTTGCTTTTCTTCAACCTCAGTCTTGACAGATTCAATTTCTTTGTTGAGCCTCTCCAGTTCTTCCATAGTTGTGTCTAGTTTTGTCAATGGAAGATGAGTTCTATCTTTAAAAATCACCTCAGGTAAAATGCAGACTCCGGAATATCCTGGACAGGTAGTTTACTATCAATAGGACATTAACTCCTCCAAACCCAGCCATTAACACACTATTGGTTCTTAGAATCAGAATGAGAAGTCAAGGACTAGCTCTCTGTACGTCTTTCAAATGTCAAGCCCATCTCCATGACTGATTAAATAACATCCGTGCCTCATTACTAGAGTGATCATATATCAGTGGGGCAGGCCAGGTTTACACATAATTATTAAACTGTGTCAAATGTGATACAGTTTGGATATACCCCATTCACCTTATTATTTACCACCCAGTGACAATTTGAAGAGTTCAAACAGCTGAATGCGACTTACACAGAACTGCACATAGTTTCATACACCAATACATCTTGGTTACAAGAAAAAGTTAATTAAAGCCCCCGTCTCTCCTAAATTCAATGGGCCTCAAAATTCTCATTGAGGTCCCTGGTATTTTACTGATTGCCTCAAACATAAAACACCCCCTCCCCAACATACATTATAAAAGAAATCTTTAAAAAAAAAAATTCAGTCAATAGAACAGAACTCCAGAGCAGTTTTGGATTCACGCTCCTGAGGAAAAACCAGGACAGTAACAAGAGAGAAGCCTTGCAGTAATGACTGTTCACAGCACCTGGCCGCTCCTTCCTGACTTTTAACTAAAGAAATCACAAGTTTCTTCCCTCTTTTCAAGATACACTTTCCTCTGTCATTTATGGGATAATTTACACACCTCTCTCTTCTCTCAAGAGATTTCAGATTTCAGAGGGGTCCCAATTTATGAAACTCTGAATTTATTTTAGATAAGCCCCATGTTTTGGTAACACACACATGCTTCTTCTTAACACAATGAGCACTGTCTTGGCTCAACAGCCTTTCGTTTTCTATTAAGAAATTAACTCTGGGGCGCCTGGGTGGCTCAGATGGTTAAGCTTCTGCCTTCGGCTCAGGTCATGATCCCAGAGTCCTGGAATCGAGTCCCGCATCGGGCTCCCTGCTCCTTGGGAGCCTGCTTCTCCTCTCTCTCTCTCTCTCATGAATAAATAAATAAAATCTTTAAAAAAAAAAAGAAATTAACTCTGCTGAAATCTAAAACAATGTGTTACAGAAGTGTGTGGCATTTGAGTGGAGGAGGGAGGGAGAAGGCAAAAGGCAAGCACAAGAATGAGAATTATCCTAGGATCCAAACAAACGCCTGGATCAAATTTCCCTTTAAATACACTTGGGCAGGCGACTAACCTCTGGATAACCAGCCAGAATTGCATTTTAGCATAAGCTGGGTTTTATTTGGTTGCTTTGATTCAGGAAAGGCTGTTTAGGCACTGCTTTGGTGGCGCTATTGAAAATAGGGAGATTATACTTTCTCTCCATGTCACCAGTTAAAAAAAACCTTTTTTCTCATCAGAAGCTACATTTAGGGAGCTGATTTTGAAGTTTGAAGGCACACGTTAACAATCTTCGCTCAGGTTAGAAGTGACTGAGAGGAGTTCCTCTGGATTGTAAATACTTTCTGCTCCAAAGGGGGTGCTACCCTATCTCCTTTCACCAGAGCATACAAAACCCCTATAGTAACTCCACAATGGGGATGGGTGGCAAGGAGGGAGGTGAAGACCACATAAGTCCATCTCACAGCCAGCAAACCTGTGCACGCCTTTCTAGGACCCCGCGCTCCAAGAGCTGGCATCTGCCAGTCCACAGCAAGGAGACCGCTTGCTCAGCGCCCGGCTCGCCGATCCTGACCACGTGACTTTGGCCCCGCCCCGCGCGCAGCTGCGGGCGGAGCCGCTCACGTAGAGGGGGGCGGGTGCGCACAGCGCTTGGTTACTGTGGCGGAGGTGCTCCCTTCTCCCGACCCCGGGAAGAGAGGTTCTTAAGACAGCCAGCCCACTCCATCTTCCCAAACATTACTGCCCCACCTCCCCCAGGTTCCGGGAATCTTGCCACCACCCAAAAGGCCTGAGAAAAACGCTCCCAGTTAGAACCCCCATAGCACCCTTTCTGTTTGGCAGATCTCAGGACATACCACGGGAGAAAGTATAAAGGTTGGCACTTAAGGCTCCTGATCCTGGGGGTGTGATGGGGGGAGATTTAGTCTTGGGGACTCTGGGACAACTTGGTTCCTCAACCACCACCCCCCCACCATAACTTGACTGCACGTTACATGGTATCTGCCAGCTATCTCCACTGATGAGAAGACAATTTCTAAAAATATGGTTAACATCTCTTTGGGCCAGTTTAGCCATAGTAATGCTATAGTGATTAACTTTCTCACTCTATAATACTTTTTTAAGTACTGGAGAGAAGTTGGGTGATTGAAATGTGACTTACACCTATTTCTGATCAAGGAAATTCTCGACACCTCTCAAGGGTGGGTGGAGAAAACAGGTGGGAATGGTTGGTAGTCAATCCCTCCTCAAGCCCACCTGACGTTCTTTCCACGAGCTCTTTCTCACCCGTGGATTCAACAAGGCTCCTCCGCACCTCTAGTACTCCCAAGCAGCTGCAACCACCTGCCTCACTCCGTTCCCACCGCTTGTCCTGGTGTCTGAACTGGCAAAACAAACGCTGGTACAGACCCCCGGTATCGTCAAAAGGGCACGGAAAATGGCAAAAGTAACCCGCAGAGGGTAGCATGGGCCACTGCTCAAGATCACCCCCACTGGCTCAGGAACTCTGCCCACTACCAGCTAGATCTGAGGTGAGCTGCCGGGCCACTTCTTTTCCCTCAGGAGTCAGTCTTATATAGTCCATAGCTACTCAAAGGCGGAGCTTCCGAGCTTTCGCAACCAATGGTGAGACTGGGGCTGGAGTCAGGGCGGAAATCAGAGATGGAGCAAATGACTCTGAGAATGGTTGGTAGGGGACCTGGCAGGTGAGTGTAGAGAGTCCGTCTGTCCTCCGTGGGGAAGGTTTCTAGAGACCTAAGCTAGAAGTAGGGAAAGCAATTTCCCAAGAGCTAAAAGGACCCTTAAGGAATCTCCTGCCCTATGTGAGGCCTACCTTGCTCCTGACAACCTCCTTTGACTTTTGTTATATTTGACTAGTAACCTTCATGGATCACTGAGAGAACCTCGCTTTGGAAGCACATCTTAGCTTTGCCCCTCTCCAGCAGGTGATCTTAGGCAGAGTATCTGATTTACCTGATTTTCCATTTCTTGATCTGTGAAAGAAACGTGCCTTTCAGTGTGATGTGATGTACCAAACCGCCTAGCATAAAGGTGAGAATTTACGAAGGCGATAAAACCTATGTTCTCTACCCCCACCCCCAGCTCCACACATATCCACAAACGATCTGATGCATATTCCCCAAATCCTTCCAGTTGAAACTAATTCCTCAAAGGGAAACAATATTCATATTCCATTGGTCTTTGAAACTGAAATACTCCTGGGATGGATGGCCTCATAAGTGACTGATAACTCGATGACTTTTAAACAAGAATGCTAGGAGTCTTGTAGGGATCTGAAAGGGCACCTGCACCCCAGTGTTTATAGCAGTAATGTCCACAATAGCCAAACGATGGCAAGAGCTCAGATGTCTATTGACAGATGAATAAAGAAGATGTATATACACACACACAATGGAATATTACTTAGCCATCAAAAAAAATGAAATCTTATCACTTGCAAGGGTATTATGCTAAGCAAATACATCAAAGACAATTATATGATTTCATTCATATGTGGAATTAAAAAAACAAAACATGGAATCATAGGGGAAGGGAGTGAAAAATAAAATAAGACAAAATCAGAGAGGGAGACAAACCATAAGAGACTTAACTATAGGAAACAAACAGGGTTGCTGAAGGGATGGTGGGTGGAGGGATGGGGAAGTGGGTGATGGGCATTAAGGAGGGCATGTGATGTAATGAGCCCTGGGTATTATGTGCAACTGATGAATCACTGAACTCTACCTCTATGATACACTATATGTTAATTAATTGAATATAAGTAAAATACAAATTTAAAAAGTAAAAATTAAAAAAAAATGCTAGGAGTCTCTAGTACTAATTTAGTTTCATTTCTTCATAGGGCATAACTATTTCGCCAGTAAAACACAAAGAAGTGTGTTCTTTTTGCTTTGGTGAGGGGGTGTAGGTAGTGGTGATTACCCTGAAAGTCCCCAAAATGCCCCCCCATAAGATAGATATCTAAATGTCCTCATTTTAATGTTAACCGGCCTAGAGTGAATAATTTTCATAAGTCACTGTCCAGGATTATTTTTACTGGATGAGTTTTCCACACCTTAAATTATTTTCTTGTATTTTTTCCATGATAGAATTTTTATGGCTGAGATAATTTTATTGAATATATCCTTTCCAGGCACCAGAAAATTTAAGTTTCTCAGCAGTTTCCAAATCATGACCTTAATGGAGTCACAAAGAAACTTCTTTTCTGACAAAAACTTCAAGTCATCTATTCATCAGTGGGTGTTTCTTCGCTTGGTTCCTCACTCTGAATTAAATCTGACTCCTCATTCCCACCTGTATCATCTGAGGCTATGGAAACAATGTCCGTCATTCTAGATTTTGACTGTGTGTCTGTTTTTCTCACTTCTGAAGAAGTGGTGCCCCAAAATGTGCTGCTCTCAGCACTCTTAGAAAAAGATGTGTCTGATATGCCTTCTGATGGATGAAAATAAGACAGAGTCGCCAGCTCTGGGTTGACGGTGTATTCAGTCTGATGTCTACTTTTATAACTGAAAAAGAAAACATGTATCAAGAATTGTTTTTAATTACATACATTTGCAGCTCAACTCAATTTAGAAAAGCATCACAAAAATTAAAATAACATATTAATTCTGTCCAATTACTTGGTACAACACCATATAAATAAATGAAAAATGTTAGACCCTAAGCAGATGTGCTGTTTAGAACAGAGTTCATAGCCCTTTTGATCCAAGGCTAGCAAAATGAATGCATACCTAGATTCTCTATATCCTTTCCAATTGATGAGTGTTACTTTTATCTCTAGATGACTATTTAATATGCTGGGGAAAAATTCTCCCTGAGAGACAGCCCCATGCTCCTTTCTGAATAGGAGAAATGGAGCCCAGCGCGAGATCTTAAAGATTTGGGAGCCACATTGCCTAAACAATCTACCAAAGAAAGGAGGGGGAGAGCTTCACATCATGCATTTTCCAAAGACTCCGGAGGTTTGCGGACTTACTTAATTGTCTTCACTTTGTACAGCATGGCACTACAGACTGCCAAGAGGATAACAAAAAGGAAGAGGGTCATCAACGAGATGCCCAGCATTAATTTTAACTTGATTTCCTGTAGCTTGATCAGGGTGTCTTCATTTGTAGCATTCAAATCAGAGTCTGAGAGGAAACAAAGAAAATGCAATGGAAAAGAGTAACTGTTTCCAGCATGTTTTCCTGGATGAGTAAAGAGAGCTAAGCAATGAAGAGAAGCCTTCAGCATCCAGGGTATTCACTGTGCACCCTCATTTGTCTCATGCAATGCAAAGAAGACTATAGGCTACTCCCTGGGACTAAGTACTCTTTGCTTGTTTTGTTGAACTACCACAATAGTCCTGGAGGAGCTGTTCTTAGCTCCATTTCACAGGATCACAGAAGTTTATAAATTCGCCCATGGCACATAGCGAGGAAGTGGCAAAATCTGGTTTCAAAATCAGGTTACCAGATGCTCAAATGTGTCTACAGCAATCTTCCTGCCTGACTAATAAAGACCATTTCAAGACTCTGAAGAGATGACTATTAAAAATGTGATGAACTTACATACCAGGGCCTCATCTTTCAGAAGAGAAAGATACCCTTTTACTGTTGGGACCTGCATTGATTTTTCTCTGATGCTAAAAGGATGGTGTACCAGATGATTTCTCCATGAAGTTTAAGAACTGCATCTGTCATTTTGTTACTGAGATCACCCTAGTGTATTTGATGTTAAAAAAGAAATGAGAATCTACTTCTTTCTAAAGTTAGATAATAAAAATCATGTCCAGATCCAGAGATGTCAAAGGTCTTTTTACTAAATCTTTTAATGAAAATACATCTTTACTGCCACATTTTACATTTTCCTGAATTTCTTTCTGGCTTAATAGACATTTACTTAATGGTGACTTGAAATGACCATGTTCATATTTCTCTCTTCCCCCAACTTTCTCCCACCCAAAAGTTCCAAAGGTTTTCATTATTTTCTAGGTCATGGTGTTTTGGTGATAAGCAGTGGCGAGCTCACATATGTGTATTCCCTGATTCTGTAATTGTCAAAGTGCGATCTTAGACCATGAAGAGTGAAATGTATACAGCTATCAGTGACTGTTATCTTGACTTTGAGGCAGATTCTCTGGGGAATAATCAAACAAATTATGTTAAGAGGGTCTGTGCTCCTGAATTGCTCTGCTACTCCTTAAAAGGATTTTTGTAAAGAGATGTGCTTATAGTACATTTTGTTTTTCAAGGTGATGGTCAAAACTAGAGAAGGGTTTGGAATTCCCCACCACTAGAAATCATGAGAAAGCTAATTACAAGCTTGGACAGGTTTCTAAGCCTCAGTTCCCTCCCTCATCTGTAAAATGGAGATAATCCCAACACCATGGAGTTGCTGTGAGGACTGACATAATAATGTATATAAAGGACCTGGCATGTAATATGTGCTCCATACATGATAAAAAATTAATCATGTTCAATTTAATTACTTGGAAAGACAAAATACTTCTAAAGTAACACAGTATTAGTCATTCCTATATATAACTTTTCTAAACAAAGACTCACTCGATTTTCTTAAAACCCTGCAAGGCAAATGGCTGTATTTGTCAAATAATCCAATGCAGAACAGAGATGTCAGGCCTTAGATGTATCACCAGATGCTATTTTTTTTTCCCAATAGTTTATTTTTAGGACAGAGGTTTGGGGTAAATTAATATATTGCCTTGTCGTGAAATTTTCTGTTGAAATCAGGAGTTCTTTTACTCATATAAATATAACTAATCCATGAATGAAAATTGCAATAAAACCTGCATTCAGCAGCAGGAATTCTCTCATTCATTGCTGGTGGGAATACAAAATGGTATAGCCACTTTAGAAGTCAGTTCGGTAATTTCTTACAAAGCTAAACATAGTTTTACCACACAATCCAGCAATCACAATTCTTGATATTTACCCAGAAGAGTTGAAAACTTATGTCCATACAAAGACCTACACATGAATATTTATAGCAGCTTTATTCATTATTGCCAAAAATTGGAAGTAATCAAGATGTCCTTCAGTAGGTAAATGGATAAATCGGTATATCCACACAAGGAAATGTTATTCAGTGATAAAAAGAAATGAGCCATCAAGCCACAAAAATACATGGAGGAATCTTAAATGCATAGCAAAAGAAGCCAGGGTGAAAGTCTACATACTTTATGTTTCCAACTATATAACATTCTTTAAAAGACGAAACTATCATGATGGTGGAAAGATCAGTGGTTGCCAGGGATTAGGGACAAAGGGGTGGATAGGTGGAGCACAGGGGATTTTTAGGGCAGTGAAATTACTCTATGATTGTGATGGTGGACACATGACATTATGTATTTGTCAAAACGCACAGACCTGTGCAACACAAGGAGTGGACCCTAATGTAAACTATGGACTGTAGTTAATACTAACATATGGATACTGGCTCCTACATTGTAAAACCCGTACCAAACGAACGCAAGATGAGAATGAGAGGAGAAACTGAGTTGGGGAGATATAGGAGAACTCTCTGTACTTTCTGCTCATTTTTTTCTGTAAGCCTAAAACTGCTCTGAAAATAGAGTCTATCAATTAAAAACACTGCGTTATAGATACGATTCACTTGCCTACTCCTGTTTGGTTTATCTGTTTTAGGAATAGAAGTCACAAAACCAGAAAATGAAAACATCCCTCTGCATATGTGGCAACTGGAGAATAATGTTTAGGGACAATCGCTTTTTAAAACAGCAAATGTCCTCTCTGAAATGACGTTAGCCACCACGCTACCCTTTTACATACATTCCACATTACTAGGGAAAACAGCATCGTCACGCTGTGAAGTCACACATTGAAATGTGTGCCAGCACTTATGCATCCATTTAACTGAAGTATTTTGTTCTTACTTGGAATTGGGCGAAATAATTGATCTTTTTCTTCAATCTCCTCAGCTGTTGTTGCATTTAAAGCTGTTAAGACAATAAATTGGGGTTATGGTAAACAAAATTCACTTACAAAAATTACTGTGTGTGTGTGTTTAATATAGAGAGTTTATTCTCATTATTCATGACAGTTATGCTCCGTAAAGTCACCGCGCAGGAACACTGACTTCGTGAATACTGAATTGTTGCTCCTGGGGGAAATGCAAGCTTAGGTTCTTGAGAACCTCTGGTCACAACGTTTTCATCAACCAATCAATACATAACTTGCTTGATGTGTGTTTCTATTTAAAGATACTTTATTTAATGTATATTGCTGCTTCATTAACATTGAATTCATGATTAATGGCATTATCGCTCAAGCCTAAACAAAGTTTATCTGACACATATTTTTCTCCATAAGGTATATCACTGCCTTCTCGTGCTCAGGAACACTAACCAGCACCTTAATACTACACTCGGGGGCCATTTTAATTAGCAAAATCACTGACTGAAAGCACAAAAATGCAAAACACATAGCACTAAATAGACAACAAAAAGGACGCTAATTACAGTCTAAGAGCTGCAGAAGAAAGGCAGAGTGTTGCCTCGTTCTACCTCCACTCAAACATGAGTGTCAGGCAATTAAAATTTTTTGCTGCTCTGTGCATGTCTGCAAATGACCATGAAAGTGATTTGGGAGGTTACAAATATATTTTAAATGTAGGTAAATTCAGAAATACAAACCCTGCAAATAATGGGAATCAACTGGACATGGTATATATTTTGTGTTTATAAGCGTGCATATATGTGTGCTACATGAATTACATTTATAAATGTGTGCATCTACATATACATTTATGTGCATATATAAGACATGCACGTTACATCTACACATGTATGCTTATATGTTTACGATATACGCATTACTTTATACATGCATATATTTTGATATATACTTTGCATTTATTCACGTATCTCCATGTGCTTACATGCATACTGCTCCAAACACAAAAAGGGACTACATTGAGTAAGAGCCTTATTTAAAATTTTTAATCATAAATAAATTGAATGACAAGATTGCAACATTTATAGGAGAGTAAACTTTTGGGGGAGAGAACAGGAAAGTGTGCAACACAATCAATTTTGTGGGTTTGTTTTGCATTTGCTATTACACGTGATAATGGCAGCAGAATGTTGATTTATTAATTCTTAATATTAGAAGTATTTATACTGATCTTGGCTTTCTTACATAAGACTTTAGAAAACCAAAACATTTTCCCAGCTACCTAACTACTATGAGTTTACCTTTAGCTAACATTGTCCAAAATGCAGGCTCATTTGGACCCTTGGTTGGTTCTGTTTAAAAAACAAAATAGAACAGGATAACTAAGTAAGGTAAGTTCACTTTAGTAAATTTGTGATAGAGCATTTATTCACTTGTTAGTTTAGTCATATAACAGTTATACCTTGAGCTTCTACCATGTGCCAGACGCTGTGGTTGGCATTAAAGTTCAGAAATGAAGAAGACGCAGCCCTTATGCTGACGGAACACACTCTCAGTTTGGGAGGCAGACAAGAATCACTATTAATTATGATGCAGGATAACGGAGGGGAGGGGGGCAGGGGCAATAGAAACGCACAAGTGGTATGCACAGAGAGCCCTAACTCTAGTTGCAAAGGCCAGAAACCCTTCGAAAGGGAGATGATGCTCCAGTATAGGCTTAGAGGACTAGAAATTGCTTGCCAGGCAAACAAGGCAAGAGTGAAATCATTCCACTGAGTCATGAGCAGATTTGGTGAGTTCTGAGAACCTCAGGTAGACTGGAGTGAAGATAATGGATGGAGAATGTGACCAGAAATGAAACTTGAACATTTCTCAATGGTCAGATTATTTCAGATTTAAATGCCTGGTTAAGAAATTGGAATATAAAAAAAATACATAAATAAATTTAAAAAAAGAAATCAGAACATGACCCAAGCCTAGCAGTAAATTACTAGATATTTTAGAAAGGAATACCACCAGCATGTTGAGATCTCTATTTTTAAATATATCAAAAAAAAGTGACTAAGATTTTTATTTGTTTTAGCAGTGTTAAAGATGCAAACTAATTCACAGTAACCATATGAGAAACATACTTGGATGCTTCATGTAATGACAGGTCCATTGTCTTCAATTAGACCACTCATTCAAAGCCTTAGAGGAGAGCCATCCTGGGTTGTTATGGTTATACAAATATTTTAGAAGGAACAATATTCTTTGCAGGAAAGTAAAATGATGATTTTGATTTTGAAACCTGTCATTACAAACCCCCGGTTATTTTAAATTAAAAATGAGTCACTAAAAATTGACTCTAATTAGAGATAAATTTATTCCTCAAGCAGATAGAAATTTTTACATTATTATTTAAAAATAATATTAAAATGTATTAAAATATACTTATATATCTCATATAAATATAAATGTAATACATTTTATTAAAATAAATTTTATTTTAAAAAGAGCTCACGGGGCGCCTGGGTGGCTCAGTTGGTTAAGCAACTGCCTTCGGCTTGGGTCATGATCCTGGAGTCCCGGGGTCGAGTCCCGCATCGGGCTCCCTGCTCAGCAGGGAGTCTGCTTCTCCCTCTGACCCTCTTCCCTCTCGTGCTCTCTATCTCTCATTCTCTCTCTCTCAAATAAATAAATAAAATCTTTAAAAAAATAAAAATAAAAAATAAAAATAAATAAAAATAAAAAGAGCTCACATCCTATCCCCATCAGATAAATCTAAAAATTGACTCAGATTTTCACTGTTTAAAAGATTTTAGAGTGACTTCAAATTGTAGCTGTATAAATTCTTTAAGCATGCTATTACTTTATGAAACACCCAGAGTAGTGAAACATAAATTAAATCATATAGTGATATGCTGCAAGTATGACTACAGTTCAGAAATTTTTAATACTTTGATTTTTTTTCCCATAGGGTTCTGTAGAATTTTCTTCACTACTGCTTTTTCCAGTATGTGATATAGTTGTTTCATTGATGAGTTTATCTGCAAAAAGGGATAACAGATTATCAGCATATAGAAAGATTGACAGCATCTGTGATTAGGCATTTTTTAAGCTAAATAATGGAACAAAGAAAAAGAAAAAAAGAGAAAGATGTTGACATTTTCCTGAGATATTATAAAGGAAGGGAAAGAAGAAGGCATTGAAGAATGAAGTTTTGGGATAATGGGTTGCCTGAGAGGGGATTAATACCCCTATAATTTGTAAAAGAGAGGAAAAGCTGGGACGGGGGTATTGGGGGTGGTTGTGGTGGTGGTTATAAGCTTTCTTTAGAGGTAAAAGAGATGTATTGGATGAGAACACTGGCTTCAGATGTTTCCCTGAACAGGACTTGAAGTGATCCTATCAGCCCCGGATAGCTTGGCTGCCAGTCAGGGTTAGAACACAGAAGAGGAAATAAGAACATTTGAAGTTGAAGGTATAAGTAGAAAGGAATAAACATGTGGGTTTAAGAAAGACGTACAATTTCCTAGAACCCTAAATCTACTCATTATTTTTCTTTCCATGAAAACCAAAAATATGAGGCTAAGGTATGTAAGAACCTCCTTGACTTCTGACTTTATCAGTGCAAGGGACATGGAGTCTCCTTATTTAGGAACTAAAGAGAGAAGAGAGAAGTATCCTTGTAAGTCGGAAACATTTGCGTGTTAACTAGTCAAAACAGAGTTTTGGGTACAATGATTTGGGGCTACAAATCAAGGGTTTTCAGGCCTGACTTAGTATATATCTCAGTCTATAATGTGTCCGTCTTCTGGAGGAACGTCAGTAAGAGTGTATTTGGAGTGTGACTGGGGGACATTTTCCACACACACCACCCCCCTTGTTGGCCATTTCAGTTAATTTTGTTTAATACGGGAGTCAATGAAGTTCCACACGAAGTACAGGCAATCTCTCTATAGAAGAAGTTCTACAGAGAGGCAGAATGGATTCAGACTGAGCCTACCAACAGCACCGTGACAGGTGCCTTGATGGCAAGAAAGCTATGGAAAAGAGTCTGTTACCAGAGTTGACATGATTCAGGCAGGACTCCAACAAAATTGGTAAGTAATCCTTCAACCCTGCTATGCATCCCTCATACTTGGAGAAAAGTGTGTGGATTTTCCCATCACAGTTCTGGGGACTAAAAGAATTGTTAGTCAAAATTATTCTGGAGAATTCCACCTCCTTGAGGAGCTTGCTCCTCTAGAACGTCCCTACCATGTTAGTATATCTCCTTCTGCCAGAGCCTGCATTTAAAAGGGCAACAATTTCTTATCCCAATCCAGCTTTCTTTGACAATACTTTGAGGACCTGAATTTTGGGAATAGAAATTAGGGTTTTAGAATTTCTTCCATTGGTCCTATGGTCCTCAATAATCCATCTCCTAAGGGAATTCGAGCTCCTCAGTCTGTTGGAGACCTGGCTCTCTGTCTCTTGTCCCAAACAACTCAAGATGATGTTTGCTGTGTACAAGCAAAATTCCCATGAGTGATTCGTTTAATGAACATATGCCCTTGAAATGTCCCTCACTTCTGTCCCAAGGTTTAGAATTACTCAAAATGTTCCATTATTGTCAAATAACTTTATTAATAATTAGGTATTACTGAGTCTGGCTTTTCCCAATATTGAAGCTGCTAGAGCCAGAAACATTCTCTCTTCCCTGTTTACTTGTATCCTCTTTTCTTTGTCTTCTGTTTTATGCTCATGGGTTTCACAGAGATGAGCTGTTGATATTTCGTGTTGAAAGATATGGATATGTCCTTCAGAGAATTTTAATGGCCTCCGAAGTCACATGATGGCAACAGTTTTACCTAGCAAATTAACTACACTTGGTAGAAAGATGCAAAAAGGAAATAAGAACATTTGAAGTTGAAGGTATAAGTAGAAAGGAATAAACATGTGGGTTTAAGAAAGACGTACAATTTCCTAGAACCCTAAATCTACTCATTATTTTTCTTTCCATGAAAACCAAAAATATGAGGCTAAGGTATGTAAGAACCTCCTTGACTTCTGACTTTATCAGTGCAAGGGACATGGAGTCTCCTTATTTAGGAACTAAGATTCCCTGACCCTTGCTCCACTAAGACATTTTTCCTATGTGATACTTTCTATTGCTGTTTGGGAATCTTGCTTTAACGGCTTTTCATATTTGCAATGGTCACTTTCAGTACTTACAGTTTCTTAGAGCAAATTGCAAATCAGTTGTTGCTTTCACGGATATTTCAGACTGGCTGCCATTTGCATTTTGCGTTGTGAACACATCTAGAAATACAAGATCAAATGTTTTCAGCAACTAAGTTACTTCTTGTTCCTTTAAATTTTTCCTCACCTGATTTTTTTTTTCTTAAAACATAAGCACTGACTAATTCCGAGAAAAGAACAATAAAGATTTTGAGACATTCTTCAGCTATAAATTAAGGAAATGGGGCAAGGTTTAAAAATAAAATTCATGGGGCACCTGGGTGGTTCAGTCAGTTAAGCTTGCCTTTGGCTCAAGTCATGATCCCAGGGTCCTGGGATGAAGCCCCACATTGGGCTCCCTGCTCAGCGGGGAGCCTGCTTTTCCCTCTCCCTCTGCTGCTCCCCCTGCTTGTGCTCTCTCTCTCTCTCAAATAAATAAATAAAATCTTAAAAAAATAATAAATAAATAAAGTAAAAATAAAATTCATGGAGAAAAAGCCAAATTGGTATCCTTATGCTAAATAACATTCCGAGGGTGCCTGGGTGGCTCAGTTGTTAAGCATCTGCCTTCAGCTCAGGTCATGATCCCAGGGTCCTGGGAAGGAGCCCCACAGGCTCCCTGCTCAGCGGGGAGCCTGCTTCTCCCGCTCTCACTCCCCCTGCTTGTGTTCTTGCTCTCACTGTGTCTCTCTCGGTCAAATAAATAATAAATAAATAAATAAATAAATAAATAAATAACATTCCGAGAAGAAATTATTGAGGGTTGGTTGTAATTCAAAACTAATGGATATATCCACCCAACCAGAGTCAAAGTAAATTGGGTCAAGATGGCACACTGACATATTGACATATGAATATATACATGTCTCCTCTTTCCAAAATCTCATGAAATGACAGAAAATTTTATACATACATGACCGCATGTGTGTGTTTAATACATACATATATATTCAATCATCTTCCCATGCAGGCACGTGCATACACACACAGTGTCATTAATGTATCATGTTTTTTGAGGAATTTCTGAACTAGATCTATGGGGAAATATAACAAAAGGAAACCAAAGCCCAACATGCCTGTTATGAGTTACAAAACTATAAAAATTAAAACACTTTGGTATTTTTACAAGGAAGAACAGATCAAAGAAACAATAAAAAGGTTGCAACTGACACAATTTCAAATGAGAATTTAGATTATATTAAATGGGTTTCACATGAGTAGGGAATTGGTGTTAGACATTTGGCGAACCTCCTTGAAAAATATAAAGTTTTGTGCCTAATTTATGCCATATGTAAAGATAACGATATAAGATCTAAGAGTTAAAAATAAAAATATGAAATTATTTTAAAAAATAGGAAAACAATTTAATTTGAATTTAAATTGAATAAGATCTAACCAAAATATAAAATGCAGAAATTATTAAAAAATCAATCAACAACTGATTTTAGAAAATTACAATTTTTCTCTGTGATTAAGATACCAAAACAGATTTATTTTTTAATTTTTTAATTTTTTTCCAAAACAGGTTTAAAAGTAAGCAACAGTCTGGGAAAAAAATACTTGTTAACTTTTACTATAGGAAAAAGATTAATATACTAAACATAGAAAGAGCTCCTACAAATAAATGAAAATACACCCCGATAGAAAAAGGGGCTATGGATAGGAATAGGCAAATCACAGAAGTAGAAATAAAAATACCCAATAAATATAGAGAAAAATACTCACCTTCATAAGTAATCAGAATGCAAATGAAAACATTAATGGAAATTTCTCACTTATATTCACAAAATATGATTAACAATATTCATTGTAGGTGAGATTGTGGGGCATTCTTAGAGGATGTAAATTGGTAGATACTTTTGGGGGGGCAATTTGCTGGTATCAATATTTTTGAAGATTTACTTTTTATTAAGCAATGCCCATTACCTGATATCTATCCAAAGAGAGATACACCCAACTGTATATGAAAAGAATGTAAAAGGGAAAAACTGCACATCATCTAATTCTTTAAAAAATAGTGGATAAATTATGGGACATGATTTATGGAATACTAGGTATCCACTAAAAATAATGAGGCAGATGTGAAAAGAGCTCCGGAGTTGTTAAATGAGAAAAGTAAGTCATAACACAATTTCTTAGGAAGATCCCACTTATGTTTTGTATATATTGTGTGTGTAAGAAAGATTTTTTTCTTTAATCAAAGTAGTCATCAGGCTCTTGGTTTATTTACCCTCTGGATATTTTAAAACAGGGGTACGTCCTGAAAGGGAAATGACTGCACCATTTGCACACCATAGGCAGAAGGCTGGTGGTGATAGTGGTGATAGATTAGGTAACACTCCTGACCCTGGCTTTGGTAGTATGAAATCTGGCAATTGACCTAAGAATCAGGTGTTTCTTTTCACCTACAAAGGAAGGACATTGATTCACCAAAGAGAAAAGAGAAATACAACTTATGCATTATTATTATCAAAGTACTTGAGTGTATATATATCTTGATTGTATTCCTATTTTTCCTTTGATGAATGTTAATAAGGATCCCAAGATAACTAGATTTAATCTTAATTTGCTTTTATTTTAACAAGAGTTTCTTACGAGTGGTGGGCCTTATAAGGACACAGAAAGAAAGCCCATATGAGTAATGATGAATAAACTAAAGTGTGATGGACACTTCAAACATCTTAAAGTCATCTTGTTAATGGGTTGCGTTTCGTGTCCCGCCCCCAAGAAAAGACATGTTTAAGTCGTAATCCCCCGAATCTCAGAATGCACCCTAGTTTCGAAATAGGGTCATTGAAGATATAATTAGTCAAGATGGAGTCACACTGGAGTATGGTGGGCTCCTAATCGGATATGAATGGTGTCCTTATAAGAAGAGGGAGATGGACACAGAGGCACAGCAGGAATGCCATGTGAGGATGGAGACAGAGACTAGAATTGTGCTACCAGCCAAGGAATGCCTGGCGCTACAAGAGGCTGGAGGAAGCAAGGAATGATCCTCCCTAGAGGCTTTGTAGAGAGCATGGCATGATCAAAACTTTGATTTTGGATTTCTGACTTCCAGAACTGTGAGAGAATAAATTTCTGTTGCTTTGAGCCACTAAGTTTGTGGTACTTTGTTTCTACAGCCCTAGGAAACTGATACCCACCTCCAAATAAATTTTGGTTAACTCACCATAGAATTAGATCAATTGCAAATCACCATAATGCCATGATGAACTCTGTTATTTATAGGAAATTACCAAAAGAACCTTGTTAAAACATCATAGCATCTCATGAAAAAAAGCTGTAGAAAATAAGAATTTCATTTAACACACTGAAACATTTATAAGATACATGAGAATTTAAGAAGTAGGAAATAAATTATAGAGTTTTTTAAATGTTAAATCAAACCAGTATAACCAGCTTTTGTATATGTGCTACTATGAACTTTAAAGACTTACATTGTTTTATATCTTTATAAGAATTGCCATTTTTCTCATTAGTAGGGGTATTCTCCTTAATTTCCGGTTCCTGTTTATATTCTTTTGGAGAGCCGGACAGCCACATCTTATCTGCAAAGTTAATAAGAAATATGTTGAGTTCTTTTACTACTTTCTTTTTTTTCAATTGCACTTTTCTACAAAGGATTTGAGGCAGAGATTTAAAATGTAAATTATGCCATATTTCCAATAATAAACTTTGTATCATCCTATAGAAAACTGTCACATACCAGTTTTCTAGGAAAATGGGTCATCTTTCTTATCTGCTCTTTCTGTAAAACCTTTAAATGTTTACTCACCACCACTACGATAGGAAGTTGTATTGGGGTACTGTAAGGAAAAAACCCCAGATACAAAAATAAACAATATAAAATTCATAGGGAAAATGATTAATTTATCCAGTAATCTCCTGCTCCTCTTCAGAGTTTCCTTTCTGTTGCCCAGCTGATCCTGTAACTAGCTAGGACATTATGATGTCACTGCCAAATGGAGGTCAGAATGCTGGGGATGAATTTCCAAAAGTTTTGTGACTCAATCTGACATCTATTTTATCTTTGATACTGTGATGGTTTTTAAAAATTAACCATTATAAGATTTTCTTTGAAAATTAGGAAATATATTTTCATGAAATAATGTGAATTAATTAGTCATCAGATTTTAAAGAACCACTGATATTGTTGATAGCAAAATGAGAAGTTTTTTGTTTTCAAAGCATTACAATATTGTATGTTCTTTTGAGTAACTGCAAGAAAGCATCTGTTAAAAACTAATCAGAGATACCTAGATTCAAATGCCCTTCAAGTTCTGGTTCATGAGCTATCTTAACTATATAATCCCTTAAGAAAAGTGTTTTGAAACTCATCTTTTCCCTGCTGATGAGTGATGTTGAGCATCTTGTGTCTGTTAGCTATTTGTATGTCTTTGGAAAAATGTCTATTCATCTCTTCTGTCCATTTCTTAAATGGATTATTTATTTTTTGGGTGCTGAGTTTGATAAGTTCTTTATAGATTTTAGATACTAATCCCTTATCAGATAGGTCATTTGCAAATATCTTCTTCTAATCCATAGGTTGCCTTTTAGTTTTGTTGATTGTTTCCTCTGCTGTGCAGAAGCTTTTTATTTTGATGAAGTCTCAATAGTTAATTTTTCTTTTGTTTTCCTTGCGTCAGGAGACACATCCAGTAAAAGGTTGCTATGGCCAAGGTCAAAGAGGTTACTGCCTGTGTTCTTCTCTAGGATTTTGATGGTTTCCTGTCTTACATTTGGTCTTTAATACATTTTGAATCTATTTTTGTGTATGGTATAAGAAAGTGGTCCGGTTTCACTCTTTTGCTGTCCAGTTTTCCCAACACTGCTTGATTGAAGAGACTGTCTTTTTTCCATTAGATAGTCTTTCCTGCTTTGTCAAAGATTAATTGACCATACAGTTATGGGCTCATTTCTGGGTTTCCTATTCTGTTCCACTGATCTATGTGTCTGTTTTTGTGCCAGTACCATACTGTCTTAATCACTACAGCTTTGTAATATAGCTTGAAGTCCGAAATTGTGATGCCTTCAGCTTTGCTTTTCTTTTTCAACGTTACTTTGTTTTTTCCAGGTCTTTTGTAGTTCTATACAAACTTTAGGATTGTTTGTTCTAGCTCTGTGAAAAATGCTATTGGTATTTTGATAGGGACTGCATTGAATGTGTAGATTGCTTTGGGTAGTATAGATATTCTAACAATATTTATTCTTTTAATCCATGAGCATGGAATGTTTTTCCATTTCTTTACATCATCTTCAACTTCTTTCATCAATGTTTATTAGTTTTCAGAGTACAGGTCTTTAATCTCTTGGTTAGGTTTATTTCTAAGTAGCTTATGGTTTTTGGTGCAGTTGTAAATGGGAATAAGATTAAGATTCATTAAAATACTCAAGTATCTTAACAAATGGCTTCAGATAATCCAACCATGTATACAGTGTGATGACCCACAGCATCTGCCTTGCAGTGAAAAATGCCAGGTTCATGGAGATTACCCTTTGGCAGTGGTCTTCCCCCTGTGCTGTTTTGATCTGTTTGCAGTTTTATACCTATGTCCCAAATGCTTATTACCAATACAACTGTTTAATAACTATATAAAAAGTTATATTATCTGAGAATATATTAGGAAATAAATCTTTACTTTTCACAGAAAACTTCAAAGAAAATGGATTAACATAAGATTATTTTGCTATGTTTTCACTATATACAACAAATGTAAATTTTGTACAATAAATATTTCCTAGGTTAAAAAAAAGTGTCCTTCAAAAACTAATGATGTAATGTATGGTGATTAACAGAACAATAAAAAAAAAAGAGTCCCTTTAATATTTTTTGCAGGGTTGGTTTAGTGGTCATGAGCGCCTTTAGTTTTTGTTTGTCTGGGAAACTATCTCTCTATTCTGAATAATAACCTTGCTGGATAGAGTATTTTTGGCTGTAGATTTTTCCCACTCAGCTTGTTGAATATATCATGCCACTCTCTTCTGGCTTTCAGAGTTTCTGTTGAGAGATCTGTAGCCAGCCTTATGGGTTTTCCCTTATAAGTTAGGGACTTCTTTTGTCTTGCTGTTTTTAGGATTTTTTTTTCTTTATTGCTGTATTTTGCAAATTTAATTACAATATATCTTGATGTTGACCTGCTTTTGTCAGTTTTGATGGGGGTTCTTTGTGCCTCCTGGATCTGGATGTCTGTTTCCTTCCCCAGATTTGGGCAATTTTTAGCTATTATTTCCTCAAATAAATTTTATGCCCCCCTCTTCTTCTTCTGAGACTCCTATGACACAAATGTTATTACCTTTGATGGAGTCATGGAGTTCCCTAAGTCTATTCTCGTCTTGCATAACTCTTCATCCTTTTGTTCAGCTTCATTATTTTCTATTGGTTTGTCTTCTAGTCACTAATTTGTTTTCCTGCTTCTTCCATCCTTGTATTCATTGCATCAAGTCTGTTTTGAATCTTTGTTATTGCATTTTTCATTTCTTTTGTTTTTTTTAAGATTTATTTGACAGAGAGAGACACAGCGAGAGAGGGAACACAAGCAGGGGGAGTGGGAGAGGGAGAAGCAGGTTTCCCGCGGAGCAGAGAGCCTGATGTGGGGCTCCATCCCAGGACCCTGGGATCATGACCTGAGCCGAAGCCAGATGCTTAATGCCTGAGCCACCCAAGCACCCCTGCATTTTTTTCATTTCTGACTGATTGTTTTTTAACTCTTTTTTCTCTGTGGTAAGGACCTCCCTGAATTCTTCCATTCTTTTCCTAAGCCCAGAGAGCATCCTTATGATTGTGGCTCTGAATTCTCCATCAGGCATATTACTTATATTGGGTTTTGATTCGATCTCTGGCCATGACCTTATCTTGTTCTTTCATTTGGGATTAATTCTTTCATCTGGGATAAATTCCTCCATCTTGGCATTTTTTCGAAGTCTCTGACCTCTGGAAAAGCCTGCTACGCTTTCTGGTCCTGACAGTAATGGCCTTATGAGGAAGGGGTCATATAGTGTCCAAGGCCTGGCACTTACAGGAGTGTCTCCGGTGTGTGCCATGCGCACTCCGCTGCTGTGTTTTGGCTGCTCTGTCCTTCAGGCCAGGCATCTGCCGAGGGTCCCCTTGCCTACTGTGGGCAGTGTTTGGACCTTGGTCAGAGTGTGGGGAGTTTTAACCAGGTGTGCTCTGGTCTGCTTGTTAAATGAGACCTGAGGCTACTTTCACTAGAACTGAAGCCTTGCAGAACTCTCTGTTCAGTAAATGAGGTGTGTACAGGGGTTTCTGCTGGTCTTCTGGGGAAGGGGCCTGCTGCCCTGGGACTGAGACACACCTGCTGGAGAAAAGCAGTCCCAGCAGAGCACAGGGGAGTGGCATTTGGTGTAAGGAGCTTAGGCAGCCGGTGTGAGTGCTGTGCTATTTACCTCAGGTGGCTCCACCCCTATGCTGAGGGGTGGCGGAGGGAAATGGCGCCCTTGGTTTTTTGTCCCAGGAGATGTGACTCTGCCAACACCATCTCTCACAAATGTGCTCCAACAAAAGCAAACAGTCTCCCCCCATGCACCTTAGGTGATCCTCAGATCGTGCCGTCTGTCCCAGGGTTGCTTGCCTGCCTTCACTCCAGGATTGGGCAGCACCCTCAGGGCTCTATCCCAGCCAAGCCCACTGACCTTTCTAACACCAGTCTTCAAGCCCCGCTAATTGCAAAGTCTCAGGAAAATCAGCCCCTCTTGTTTTCCCAGCCACTGGCTTTAGGGAAGTATTTTCCTTGTGTGATCCCCTATCTGCTTCACTCTCTCTCACCTTTCTCTGCAACCAGGGCTCCCTCCCCTCCATCGTACCTGCCATCTGTTTCTCCCCCAAACCACATCTCTGCACCTCCTACTTTCTGTGACGTGGCCTCTTCTCTCCCTCTATTGTGGAGTTTGTTCTGTCGGTCCTCAGGCCCATTTCTTGGGTAGTCAGAATGATTCGATAGTTATCTAGCTGTGTTCCAGGGATAAGGTGAGCCTAGGGGTCTCCTTCTATGCCAACAACTAAGCTCCCCTCCTCTTGGTTGCTATTTTAAAACTTCCGCTTAACCCAAGTCATAAGGTGATTGCTAATTAATGGCTATCCAATCATCTGGGAAAAGAGAGTGGATGCATTAGAACAGAGCGACTGGAATGTTGAGGTTGCTAAGAGAAAAATGGAAGAATAGATTTACAGTGGGGTCTGGGAGTTTCACTTTTTTTTTTTTGAGAGAGAGAGAGAGCAATTGTGGCTGGTGGGGAGAGGAACAGAAGCTCCACGTTCCGCACAGAGCTCGACTCAGGGCTCTATCTCACCACCCCATGATCGTGACCTGAGCTGAAATCAAGAGTCAGACGCTTAACCTCTTAACCGATGGAGCCACCCAGGTGCCCTGTGTTTAACATTTCAAAGCTGGAACAGGGCAATATGATAATGAGGTCCAAGGACATGGTTTCAGATTGCTAAATTAGATTAGGGGGGAAGAGCGTTGGCATAGGGATGTCAAGTCAACTGAGCAGCCAAGTTGTTGGATGCACTGTCTGTGTGGCCAAGGAAGATCCCTATGAGAAGAATGAGAGGAACAGGGAGAAACTGGTGCCAAAGTCTTCAGTGAATTAGGGCAGCTTTGGAGGATGACTGAAAATGATGATTGTGGAGGGGGCAGTAAATGTAGGGCTGAATGGTATAAACCTTGAAGGACAGATGGTATTTGAGAGCAGGAGTTAAGATCTTGAAGGAGCAAGAATGCCAACTCCACCTCAAGGCTCCGATAGATGCTGGGATACATGAGATAGAGCAGAAGGGCTTCTCTTCTAGAAGGCTGCCATGAAGAGCCAGACCCCAGTTAGGACTCGTACTCATACTAGATTGAGATGTGGCATTTATGACTTAACATTATAATATAAGCATCGTCATGAACTTAACATCTCTATGAC